CTATCAGTTAAAATTTTTAACTACATTTCTAATCATTAAAAAAGTCTAATATAATCGATCACATTAAAGTATATAAATTAAACTATCAGTTAAAATTTTTAACTACATTTCTAATCATTAAAAAAGTCTAATATAATCGATCACATTAAAGTATATAAAACGATGATAAATGACTTACTCAATTTTTCATTTCAATAAAAGAATTCTTCAACGCCCCGTTCAAACTAAACATAGAAATGTTTTGTTCATTGATTTGTTTAATGTGTTCAATGTCCACATCTACCGAAACCAAAGAAGAACTTGAAAAAGAATTACTTAAAATTGATATTGAAATAAAGGAACTCGAAGAAAGTAAGAATATGATCAAATCATGTCCTTATTCCAAACAAAAAAATAAGCAAAAAAATTTGTTTCCATTTAAGGCAAAAGTGAACTCGAAAAAAAATTGGCAGAACTAAAAAAAAAAAGAAGATTAAAAGCTATAGCCTGTGCTAAATATATAAAATACCGATGACTTTGTTCTTGATGTAATTCGTTAGAAAGATATATTTATTGCAAAAACATTATCTAAAAAAAATGTAAATTTATTGAATACATATTACTATATTACAATAAATAATTTGCAAAGTACACTTTCCAGTTAAGACAAATCTCGTTAATCTTTTAATCTGTAAACCACATCATATATATTATAATCAATTGATATTATATTATTAATATCAAATTTTTGAATCTATAATGTATGAATATCACGCGTATTTAGTTAGATATTTTTGTGTAGAATTCGAATAATCTAAATGGGTAAAAAAAATTTAGCACTTTAAGAAAATGTCTTCACTAGGGCACCTATTCTGCTATTCTATAGTCTGTGGTATGATCCCTGCACTTAATATTTATCAATGTTGTTAGCCAATCCTGTATTGATGTTAATGTTCTTTAATGTCACATGAAATTTTAAGGTATTATTTACTCTTTTTCTATGGCTAATATTATTTATAAGTTCTTATGCATTATATTGTTGACTTGAATCAATAAAACTGATTGAAATTTATTATAATTATATTTATAAATTAAAATTGTTAAATTGATTTTTTTAATTAAAAAAAGGTAAAGAAACAAAATTTAAAGTTAATAGTTCTCCTTCAACTTGACTATTCCTCGAATATCAAAAAATGGGTGACTTCAAAGAGATTTTTAGACCTTTTATTAATCTTTTCTCCCATGAACAATTACAGGCAGTCTTACTAGCATAGCTCCCTTCAAAACTCGAGTCATATTTCTCTAAAATAATCACTGTGGATATGTTTATAACTACATTAATAGCAACTGCAGTAACCACCTTGATCTATTCATCTTGTTCCTTGCTACAGATTTTTTAGTTTAGAAGTTCATTAACAGTGCAAATTGAATATTATATTAAAGGTAGATTGCAGTATGATTTTTCTAAATAAAGCCTGTTAAATCTAAAAGCAACAAATTTTTTTAGGCATTTATGACACTAAGAAAAAAAATCCATTATATGAAGCTTTATCGTGGATTATATTACAACAAACAAAAAAATTAGATAATGGTTTATTTATTATTCAACCTGTAAATAATAAAAAGTATAAAATATATGAAATGCCAGATTTTAATATTTTGCCCGAAAAGAAGCAACAAATCATTATAGAGTACAGAGGTCGTATATTCAATGTTGTGTATAAACTGCAAGAAGACAACAATAATCAAAATAATCCTCAATGTCAATCATATTATAAAGAACCTGATTCAGTACCTTCTATTTTTTTATCAATTATTAACAATGACTCAAGTTCAAATGACAGACCTGATGTTAATGCGATTACTGAATTCATTAGCGAAGTGACCAGATCTTATTTTAAAATAAAAGAAAAAAATTATAAACTTGCATGATATAAGTGTAATGAAGGAAATTGGAACAGAGTTCAGCTGTTATCAGACTTGAATGGTTTGGAAACCGTCGTTTTAGATAAATCACAAGAAATATTATTGAAAAGAGAATTAGACTCTTTTGTTAATGACAAAGAGTTTTACAAAAGAATTGGTTTGCCTTATCGACGTGTTTTCTTTTTTATAGTAAACCTGGAACTGGAAAAACTACATTAATAAATGCCATATCATCTTATTTGTCACGAGATCTCTATTATCTTAATCTCAAAAAAATTAAAAATGATAATGATATGAGCGCTGCCTTTAGTTCTGTTCCACTGAATCAAATAATTGTTCTTGAAGATGTTGATACACAATTAAATATTCTTTATAAAAGAGGCATTAGCCACCCAAATTATCATAACTTTATATCTGAAGATTTTATAAAAGAAAATGATGATCTATCAAAATATAAAGATTTATTTTCATTTATTAGTTTATCTAATTTTCTTGGATGTTTGGATGGGCAAATATTAACAGAAGGCACGACAACTAATCATATTGAACATCTTGATCCCGTATGGTAATACAGTAATAGTGATAAAAAAAATTTAATGCACTTCTATTAATCCGATCTATAAAACTAATTCTATTTCTTATTTTAGCATTCGTCCTGGTCGCATAGATGTGCATTTGAACCTTGAATATTGTACGCAGTACCAAATTAGCAAGATGTATCAGAACATTACCAAAAAGAATTTTCTGATAAATATCTTAAAAAAAATTTCGGATAGAATATTGCTCCCATGTGATGTGATGATAATGATGATATCACATAGAAATGATTATGACCTTATACCAAATAAGATTCTTGAACTGGCTGAAAAGTATCAACTTAATAAATAACAACATTTTATTTAAATGCTATATACAGATGTAGAATCAATTCAAATGATACCAATAAAAATACCATATAATAGGGGTAGTTCCCAGCTTCTTGTCATTATTTCTACAGGCCATTTAACTGCATCTATAAGGTATATTGCTAGTTGAATGACTTGTAGAAAAATCGCAATATGTGAATAAAAAAAATTTTTACATAATGAAATATTACATTATTTATTTTTTTTTTTCAGATCATTAAGATAATAATTATAAGAATTGAGTTAAATGAAATCAATTTACAATAATATATATAAAAATTTTAAATATGAGCTTTACGAAATTTAAAAAAATCGGTCTGGTATAATTATTTTAATTCCAAATTTGGTAGAAGATAAACAAACAAAAATTTTTGAATCGGCCAATAAAAATTAGTATTTTTTAATTTCCAAATTTAGGGGACGTCTAAAGCGGAGTCAACTTATATTTAATAATTTTTTCAATTAATTTAGGGTTAGGGTCTTCTATATTGGGGTTAGAT